CCTCACCAGAGCCGAATATGTTTCCATCTCCTTTTGCTTCTGTTACTGGGTTTTGTTGCCCCGCAGAGATCCTTTCGAGCTCCTCTTGGATCTTTTTCCACATTTCTCCCTTTTCTGAGATCATCTGTGAGATCTCAAATGCGGTTGTTGACCTTTCGTCGTCTGCTTCGATCATCTCCTCATCTCCAACATCTTCATATCCGATGGGTCTTTTATTTCCAATGAAGACACAATTTGCGTTTAAGTCTTCGGCGAGGAGTTCATTGTTAGGAGTCATCTCATACATGCACCATTTATCCTCTCCTCGTTGAGGGTATTCAGCTCCATTTGGAACTGGTGCGAAGGTCACCTTTTTCTTGACCGGGTAACCAGCTGGTCCAACTTCTCTTCGTTTCCGATATACTTTCGGTTCAAGTATATCGGTATCTGGCAGTGGAGGGAATTCCGCTTCTAACTGTTTCCAATACTTTTCAAAAGATTTTCCATCTCCCCTCTCTAGCGCCTTATAGAACATTTCGAACAGCTCATATACTGGTTTGCCAAGTCCGGTTGGGAAAATAATCGTTGTTCCTTCTCTCTTATAGAGGTTATTAACACGAAAATCCCAGAATAGGTCAAACCTTGCATTCTCCCACATGATTCCTTCATCAAATACTTCGTTTATTTCTCGATCAAGTTTCAATCGGAGATGCTTGACCTTAGGGTCTGATCTCCCTAAGTTCGCGATCAAGCTGTCAACGCTGTTATCCCAATGGAGTAATGATCTCCCCCTTCTTATAATGAAGTTCCGAACGCAGGATAACCATTCCTTATATCGCTGCCAATGGTAGCGTTCAATATGCTGATTCCACATCGAGTTCGTCCGGCATATGCTTTTAACTTCTTTTTGGACATGATTTTTCATGTCATCTATTGCTGCGTTGCACCTTGGCCAGTCTGTGAGATCATCTTGGTGGGCATCTCGACAACATTCCTCGCATTTCCATTGAGGTTGCACTCGACACGGATTCTCGTTGTAACCGTGATGACAACTGCTAACACGTTCTTCCAGTGTCATTTTATCGAGGCAAGCGAACGGGTTATTGCTATCGTCAATTTCCGTGTTCCAAAACCCGTGATTCGGTGTCCCTTTAGTCTCGTCAGATAAGATTTCGATGATCTCCGGTTGTTTTTCATTCGTTGATCTCTCAACTGTTTAACTGCTCCATCTCGTATCTCACTTAGGAGTACCTGTTCGTCTTCCGTCACCTTTTTCGGAGCTTCTAATTTCTTTTCCAACTTCTTATCATTCCAAACTTTGGCTACTTTATTCCCAGTGCCTCTGGTACTGGGATAGACTTTGCTAACTCCATACCAGGTACAAGAGCTCGTTTCACTTCGATAGCTGCTTCCTTTTGTACAGCTGCTATCTGCTCCCTCGTTAACGGAGTTCCATCTTTCGTTCCCAGTGCCTCTGGTACTGGGATAGCATCTTTATCAGTTGCCTTTTGATCATCTTTCGTCGTTCCCGGTGCCTCTGGTACTGGGATAACGACGTTTGCCTGTTCTTTCGGTTTAACTGATGATCTCCCAAATCGGGTCGCGATCTCCTTTTGGATAGCTGCCATCTGTTGAATTATCGACGGATGAGCAGGTGAACCTCCCCTTCGTTGGTTCATCGTATGCTTTCCCAGTGCCTCTGGTACTGAGATAGCCTTTTGATCCATTTTAGCTGCTTTTACAAGTCCGGTGACCTTTCCGGCTTGAACTTTGACATCTGATTTCGGCTCATCTTCAACTTCCTCCTCCCCATGATTATCGATCAGGACGAACTTTGTCGCCAAAAAATCATGTCTTAATAGTACTTGTACATCATCTGATTTTGGTCTTACGTAGAAGGAGTGTTGACTGGTCCGTTTTCGCAATGTCACTGGTGCTACGCAGTAATGCGTCACATTAAAGCCCGATGTCCCGCTAATTCCGTTAATCCTCATCAATCGATCTGGTGGCAGCGGTAAAACAAGAAGTCCGTTCTTTTCGCAAAATGATCGGCTAATCAGCGATGTTTCCGCACCGGTATCCAACATCGCCAAGACCTTTGTGTCACAGATTTCACCTCTTGTGTGTTCGCTTTGATCCTTTTCGGCAAGTTATGCTTCGATCCATTTTGTACTTTGAGCGTACGAACGGTACATTTAACTGGGATGAGCGATGCAGGTCCCGGATCCATATCAACTGCTGAAGAAGGCACCTGCCCGTTCGCTAAGGTGTTATCCCTCTTCAGTATCGAACTCAGATGATCGATCCTATGTGGGACATCAGTTAGGACTTCGTAAAATTGTCTCTTCTTTTCGCCTTTTGAGCTTTTCATCATCTCACACCCCTTTTTCTTTGCAGCTTTTTCATCATCGACGATCTTTGCAACTTCGTTTAGTTGCCCCTTCGCAACTTCCGTGTGATTTTTGAGCACCTCGGGGATGGTCTGATGCAATGTCACATCATCTGGTTTATCGCACAGATGCTCAATGACCTCATCTGTGATCTGGTCAGCTCGTTTTAACTCGTCTGCTTCGCTATCTTTCAGCTGATTTGGTGATCTCTCATATGTGACCATCTCATATCCGTTCTGGGTCATCCAGTTGATCACCTTCGCAGATACCTCATTGTTCGTTTTCGTCGGGTCGATCTGTGAAGACATCCCATCTGTTCGAACTGGTGACTTGTCATTGGGATCTTTTTGCAGTGCTTCGGTTAAGTCCCGTGACCTTTCAGTCGGTGTAATAGCGAATCCGCCACTTGGCAACTTTTGTAACGGAACTTTTTCTCCGTAATTCGGCGGTTTATTAGCTGGTGGAGCATTTCGGTTCTGATCGGCGAGTGTCTTTTTATACTCCATATCGTTGAACACTGGGACAGGGTTTCCCCAGATTTGCTTCCGCTTTAGCGTAACTGCATCATCCAATGAGTCATCGGAGATCTGTTGTGTCCGTTCGCTTTCTTCAAGCTGCGCTTTTCGCAGCGTCAGTTCCTTTTCCTGACCTTTTGCAACGATCTTTTTGTCGTTGTTTTTAGCGACTGCACTTGCTCCCTGATGTCTCACTGGTGCGGAAGATGGTGACGGGTCATTTCCCTGTTTACGCCGATACTCTCGGAACTTGGTATGCTGCTCCTCAGCATCTTTTTCTTCCATCTTCTTCTTCAAGTTCGCTTTTCGGATGATCTCATTACGTTGAGCTCGCCGTTCTTTTAACTTCTCAGCACTGCATTTCCCCGTGCTGTTCAGCTGATCATCGGCAGTACAAACCTGCTGTAGTTTCGCAGTTCCATTCTGCGCAGGTGGTCCTTTCTTCACTTGTGATGGCATCTTATTAGCCATCTCACTCACAGTATCATTCTGTGGTGACTTCGCAGTACCGTTCTGCGGAAGTGGCCCTTTGTCCACTGTCGATGGCATCTTTTGAACCGTCTCTTTTGCTTAATGTGATGGCATCTTATAAGCCATCTCCTTTGACTGATGTAATGGCATCTTGTAAGCCAAATCCTTTAACTGCTGTAATGGCATCTTATAAGCCATGTCTCTCGCAGTACCATTCTGCGGAGATCGTGCAGTACTATTCTGCGTTCCTCCTTTATCCGGTGGTTTCGGTTCAGGGAGATCAGCAGGCTCACCGGCGCCTACTGACCTTGGCCGTTTCCCTGATCCAGCACCTGCTGTTGCTGCTGGATTTGTTCGTTTCCCGGGTCAGCGCCGTTCGCGCCGCCACCGCCATTATTATCGGCGCGTCCGTTGCCGCCGCCGTTCCGACTGCCGTATCCGCCGCGTCCATTGCCGCGACCTCTTCCTCTGCCGTTATATCCGCCGCCACCTTGTCCATTTCCTTGGCCGGCGCCGCCACCGTTCCCCTGCTTGAACGCGGCCCATTTCGCGACCAAGTCGTAGCTGTTCGCTACTGCTTGTTGCCAGCCGCCTTGAGCTCGCAACCGTTCCCATTCTGTGGTGGCGAACAAGTTCGGGTTCCGGTTTGGTGGCATGCCAGCGAACATGCAATTCTGTGCATCGTGGTTCCCAAATCCACAATTTTGGCACAGCTGCACTCCCTGGGCGATCCATCCGTCAATTCGGCCAAATTTCCACTCGGTTCGAGAACCTTGCGGCTGCTGATGTTGCCGCGGTTCTGCTAATAATTTCCTTGTCGGTTATTCTGCTGGAAATTGCCCTGCCCCTGATTTCGGTTAAAGTTGCCATTTCGTTGGCCACCATTCCAGTTTCCGTTTCCGTAGTTGGGCCTTCCTTGTTGTTGGGGCACCCCTCCCTTCAGGGGACTCGGCATCACATTAGCCGGAGCCGCTGGTCTTGCCTGCGCTTGTATCGCGGCGACCATGGCGTACGAGATCGGCTGCCCAGTTCGACTGTCGATGAATGTCATCTCCTTTTGATTTGGAGTTGGCGATCTCGTCTGATATTCCACTGGGGACGGTGTGGCTGCGTATTGTCGCTGTGCCATCTCAACTTGGCCCGAGCGGATGGTCACATAATCCGGTTGATTACGTTGACCTTCTACCACCTTGTATTTGTCTTCGCCAGCTGCCCATGATCGGAAGAAGTCCTTTATCTCCGTTGGCGTTCTGAACCCCTTCGTTTTCAGCGCCTTATAGAGATCGTTGTCGACTCTGCATCCATCGATGAGGAATGCAACTGCTTGCAATTCGGTGATGGGTTTCTTAGCCTTGAACTTCATAATCGCTTGGTAAAACTGCTCAAGCGTCTCTTTTCCGGGTCTAAATTTCCTATTCATGGCTTCACGTAAGCCCAGGACTTCTTCATTTCGATCCCCGAACTCATCTTTGAATTTGTTTAGCCATTCAGTGACGGTATATACTTCTTCTTCAGCTTCTTCAATGTCTCTTTCGCCGTCGAACCAGATCTTTGCTGGTCCTCTGACAGCACTGGCGATATCATTCAGTATCTGATCATCTGTCATGTCGTATGTCCGTTGCGTTTCTCTCACCAATCGGATCCATCAGCTTACCGCGGCGCGGTTGCCGTCGAAAGTCGCAAGAACGGTTTTGCGGCCCATATTTCTGATGGATCTGTTGAACTCCCGTTGCCCTCGATTTTCATTCCGGTCATCTCGTTGATTACGTTCATTTTGATATTCGCGGAAGTATCTTCCGTCATGTTCGTGCCGTGGGGAGCGTGCATCCTGATTTGCACCATCCTTGACTGCTGTTTCAATAGGCTGTTGGAATTGTGAAGGGTCACCGAAGTTCATGTGTGGCTGGTGACTACTTGATGGCTTCTTATTGTCCGTGGTTTCTCCATCTCCTTCCGTTTTCAGCCCCCCTGTGCCACCGCCCGTTCGCAGTGGCATCTCGAAATGGAAGCTCCCGCCCGCTTCTTGTGCCTTACTGTGGCTGGGCGGGGGCGTGTCAGCGGTATCTCTTTTCGCACTTCCTCTTTGCAGGAGTAGCTCTTCTCTGTGCTTATTTGTTACCTGCAGACCTCTGTTCTCATCTTCCAGACGTTTAATTCTGAAGGTGAGCTGCTCATTCTCCGTTCTCAACTGATCTCGCTCCTGCTTGAGCATGTGGGCAAAGTTCTGTCGTTGAATCGTTTCCTCGTTGAGCTCCTTTTCATCTGTTTCCCTCTGTCGGATCTGTTCAATCAGCTGATTCATTTGTTGTTCCAGTTGTGCATAAGCATCTGCTGCCACCTTCAGCTGCTTCCTTGACTGGGTGATTTCATATTGGTGAGTCATCGCCGTTTGCGTCATATCGACCAGTTCCGTGTTGAGCTTTATGTTCTCGTCTGTCAGCTCGCGGATCTTTTTCTGATGCTCTTTGCTCTCCAATTCGACTTTTGTCACCTTCGTGTCTAGTCGTCGTGCTTCATCTTCCCATCTTTGGCCACATTCGGCCGCTCTCTGACCAGCTTCTTTGAGCTGTTCGTTCTCCTCAGTGACCTTGTTGATATCCTCCTTGAGCAGCTCACCTTCCGTAGCCAGGAGCTCTCGCAGATCTTGTGCCACTTTGAGGGCATCGTCAGCTCGTTTCTGATGATCTGCCGATTCTTTTTGAAGCGTTTCAATGTTCTCATCTCGTAGCTTCAGGTCATCCTTGAGTTTAAACATGTCCTTATTCACCGCTGTCAGTCGTTTGGTTGCTTCAGTTATTTTGTCGCATATTTGTTTCGTTTTGCTTCAGCTTCGTCTGCCGTTTTACGCAATTCATCGCATTGATCTTTCAGTTTGGCCATGTGCCGTGACCTTTTGGCTGTCTCTTCGGACATGCTCTCATTAAGTTCGTTGACAGCTATGTAACCTTCCATCTCCCTATCATCGGCTATCTTCACCGATTCTTCAGCAATCTGTACTTGGCGTTCATATTGAACTTTCCATTCTTCCGCTGAGCTCTCAAGAGCACTCTGTTGTTGTTCTAAGTCATAGATGCGCGACTGCAAAGATCCCAGATGAGTTCGGTATTCTTGTTTCTTGCGAGTAGCCTGGGCCTCTTTTTCTTCCAATGATGTTCTCTAACTCGAGTTCGAGTTCTCTAACTCGTCTTTTCAGGCTCAAAGTAGGGCTGTTTGGAGATGGAGATCGTACATTGACGATCTTTCCTGTCTGATTACTTTCAATCAGACTTTCAGGGATGTCCTCGAAGGATGTTATTCCCTGAGCTCGATCAGCTTCCTTCATGGCCGTTTTAAACGACATATTCAATGTAATCTCATCCTCTGTGAAGTACGATTCTTCGTTCCCGCGATTGGACATCATCTCATCAGATGCCATTGGACTCTCGAAGATATCCTCAGTTGTTGTTTCATCTCCAAGTGTGAGGTCATCTAGATTGAGTTCATTGAGATCGTCAGATGTGATCTTTAACTGCTCGTTGAGATCGGTTTTATCCAGGTTCTCCTTCTTATCCTGGGCGGTTACATCCTTTTGCGATGTCAGATCCATCTCTGTAGCTCGTTCCGAGCTCGTTCCTTCTTTGGTGACCTGCTGGTTCACCTCACTACTTCCCGCCGCAGGCGCGGGAGATCGTTTTAGATCGTCGCTGGAGCTCTCCTGAGCTGACATCGCTTCGAGTGCTTTCTGGTATGTCGCATCAGACCCACGTGAATCCTTCTTCACGGGGACTTTCGGTGCTCGGGTGTTTCGTTCATGTCCCACTGGACGTGTGTATGAGTTGAAGTCCCTCTCATAAGGATTAGGTGCGCCTTGCTGTGAGGCTTGGGAGCTTCGGCTTCCCTGGCTGCTGTTAGATGTCGATTCGATGATGTTCTTTTCCATGTTGATCGGATAACTGTGACGCGCCTGTCAATCTTGCTCGCACACACGTTATAATGAGATCGTTTTAAATCCCTGAGATCGCTTTTCAGCTGGTCAAATTCGATCAAGTTCGTTTTTAAAGGCCACTTTTTTGATGAAAAGATCGAGAGTTTTGCCTCAGAAATGAGCTCGTTCAGCTGCTGATATCAATAAAACCCCTAAAAAGATCGTTTTGAGTTCGTATCTAGTTGAAATAGATGATCTCAGCTCATCTGTAAAGGTCACTATCTGATCTGATCTGATGTCAAAGGATACTGATGATCTCGATCTGATCGATCTCCGAGATGGTCACTTTTCGGTCAACTTAATTCGATTAAAACCAACTTCATTTAACTAATTTTAGATCGTTTCCGATAAAAATAGTTCAATTTAACAGCTGGCGAGATCGTTACGAGATCGTTTTAGATCGATTTTTCCTTCAAAATTTTCGACCAATCAAAGTTCATTTAACTGATCAATCACGTGTACCCGTTGAAATTTTCTGACCGGCCTGGCGTCACAGATCGACGGCCAGACTTGCGCGCCGTGTGCAAAAGCTACGCCTACGTCTAGCTCAGCTCAATACGGACCAATGAAAATTGCGCTTTTTACGCTTCAACCAATCCAGTAATTAATAACGGTTTTCACCTGTCTACCGTTCCGATCCCGCAAAAAGATGACCCAGATGATCCAGATGATGGAGATGATCCAGATGATCTTCTCCAAACTCCGATCCCGCGCAGCCGTATTCCGTACGGTTGTGGCGCCTTCCTGTCCGACCTAGTCTGCCTTCTGCTGGGCTTGTCAAGCCTACCAGCAGGTCGCTCTACAGCCAATTTTGGTGGAGCGCGTTAACTGATCTCTTGGCACCTCCTTCGGTGCTGCCAACTCGTGGCTTCTCGGCTCTTGTGCCCGACAGCCTTGACCCCAACAAGAGGTGCCCGCTGCCTAGCAGAGGAAACAGCACAAGTTCTCCGACAGGAGAGCTCTTGCACCGCAGCCGTCTGCCGTCTGAATCGATGTGCACGACGAGTTCTCCTACAGGAGACTCTCTAGTCAGTGCTGCCTTGAGAGCTGGTAATCCGATAGATGAGTGCGCCTTGCTTCAGATGAGGAAAACCAGTGCCTTAATGGTGAAATGAGATCAAGATGATCCAGCTCAATATGGCCGTTCGCCTAACAGATGAATGTGGCCGCTCGCCAAACAGATGAAGAACTCAGAAACCTTCTGTTCACGGCTCTGCTACCATATAACCGTGGACTGTGAAAGAGTCCAGGACGGAAGCCCAGACTGACAGGACTCCGTGTAGTGTAGAACGTGACGTACTAGGGATGAAATGCGCAACGCACGATATCCAGTCTACGTTATACAATTTAATAGCGTCTTCGATCGATCATCAAAACACACTGACGTTCAATGCTCAATGAGCCAACGTCTACTAGATTTCTCTCATATAAACTGCACGGCGCATAGTGAACACAGTGAACAGCAGCCGTCAGCCAGTCAGAAAAGAGACACGCCACAGACGGTAATTCCATGGGGAAATCCCCAGTGCGTAGTGCAACGAAGCACTCCCCCAACTCCAGTAGCGTCACGCAGGTGGACGCAAGAGAGCCATCGCCTCACAGCCTGTTTAAACATACCTTCAGTCGGAATCAGTCTCGCCGTAGCATGCAGTTATGCCGTTCCAGGAAGATTGTCGGCATCTACCCTAGGTACCTACTATCTACATCTGCTTTCCCGTTGTCTTCGCCGTTAAGCAGTTTCACTATCTTCGATGGTACGGGTAGGATTCGAAACACTCTCCAAAATTAATCTTGTCTTACACCAGCCGACCATAACACTGCCATGATAAATACTGTGCCTGACAGTGCCTATACATGCCGATGCTCAGAAATTTTTTCCGTGCATTTCATTATAAATCGCTGTTGTAATATTTTATTATAGGTCACAAAAAATTTTCATACTTTGAAACTTTTTTGCGATTTTTAATTCCACTTACACCCTTCCACTTACACAAGTACTAGTACTGCGTGTTTTGGTTTTTTGTGTTTCGTGTAAGTGTTTGATGTTTTTGAAATTATTGATCTTCGGTGATTTGCTGTACGTGATTGATACAAGCAAGAACTTACTGTAGGTAGAGGACTGGGAAGCGACTCTGCAACGGTCGACTACGTCATCACTGTCGCATACAGAATGCACTGGGGTGCTATTGCTTAACGTAGGCCCACAGATTTTATTGTCCCTTATTAAAGATATTCTCAGTTCCTTTCTCCTATGAAACTTTCTGATATTTCTAACAGATCATACTGAACTTACAAACCCAAACATGAAAGGCTAGAAATAGAAGAGAAAAGAAATATGCTGAGAAGACTGACAAAAACCGTAAAAAACGCGCATCTGTCACCATGGCAGCCGCCCTCCCGTGTATGCGAGAGTGATGACGTCAAACGGTAGGTTACCAGTCCTCCGCACACTATAGTAAGTACTTGATACGTTTTTTGTGTGTTTTGATGCATCAGGATTTGATAATCGGACCCAAACGGCACGCTATTTCTAGCCACCTTCCGCGAGGCAGTTACTGTCATTCTCACTAAATTATCTGGTGCGCGGCACTGCGCGCCAAGCCACTATCACAGCCAGACGCATGTTACGTATCTAAGCAGTGTGGAGGGGCGCGCCGTAGCATGCAGTTTGCGGTTATTCGATTTTGTCTCTAGTAAACTTTATCGAGACTTTCGAGTGTCGAGAGTCATCTGACGCTATTTGTTTCACAACAATCAACTTTTCTCGTATTCTTTTTCGGAGTAAAGCTGTTTCTGCTACTGAACAAGGCATTTGTGCCTCTCGTTATCAATAATGCACCTGTACAAAGATGAACGCCCTGTATTTGCATGGAACGCGGTGGATGTGGAGATTGACGGGCAGATGCAGCACGGATACGTCATCGGCGTGGAAGAGAAAGGCAGCACTCCGCCGCGTCTGATCATCGATTTCGGATGCCCAGCACAGTCTTCTGTGCTGGTTCCATACGGGAAGATCTGGGACTGCTCCAGTTATCCATACAGCTGTCTGGGCGAGGGAGCCAGTGTGGAGGTGCTGCTGCGCGACGGCCCGATGCGTTCCTGGAAATGGTATTTGGGGAACAATGTAATTTGCTTGTTCACCAGTATGAATTCAATGGCGCTGGTGGAGGTGATGATGGACGGCACGCGTCGTCGCGAACTGGTTCCCCGTCGACAGATTCGGGATGTTCTAAAACAGCCATCAGTGGAGGACTTCTTGCAGCGGGCCATTTTACCTTGCAGACATGCAGCGTTCCCAACGGCTACTGGGCTATGCAGCAGTCGGCCTCAGCGTTGCTGCTAAAACATGTGGAACAAACCTTTCGTCTCCAGTTTGTGAAGATACTCAGTCACGAGATGTACTTTGTGCGGCGGCGATACGAGTCGCCCATCGGGGACGAAGATATAGTACGTCGTTCACTTCGTTGCTAGTCATGTCCGTTCACGTTTTGCGACTGTAATGCTTATTGCATGTTTTCTTACGGATATCATAGGCGAGGGTATTCGAAAGAGAACGACAGAATCCTGCCTTTTGCGGACGCTTACTCGAGGAAACGAAAGAGCTGGAGTCAGAACCGAAGCGAAAAAAGCCGTCGATCGACGTCGAACAAGGCTTGAATTTGCCTTTAGAAGTGCTGAAGGAGATTTTCCACTCTCTGGATACCGTGGACCGACAATGCTGCCGCCGCACCTGCCCACTGTGGGAGACCATTCTGACGTCGGCGGAGCTGTCCCGAGATCTGCATGTATCGCGGCAGCAGCCCAGCTCGCCATCGCAGGCAAGGTGGGACTGTGATAATTATGCTATGTACGCCTGCATCTTCAAGCATATCACGTCAGCCACACGCACCATCTGTATTCGCGAAATAGGCACAGAATACATTCACCACAGGAACTTGCATTATTCAAATGAAGCTCTGGATCTTATTAAGAGGTTTTTTGCCGATACTGGCCTCCGCGTCGACCGATTCATCTTGTACCAGAGATCTATCAGGATGGCACAGCCAGCATTTGATCGATGGAAATTCAGTGCGTTTTCCGCCGAAATCTATGGGCAAATGTCCAATCTCGTACCTTACTGTGATCGCGTCATCTGGAAGGATTACGCACTCACACTACTAGACAAGGAAGACAATGCCCTGATGGGATTTCGCGTTCCCATTGCCACCTTCACGCGGGGGCATGTCGATGAGGCGCGCATTGTGGATTTGCTTGAGCAGCATCTGCGCTGGGATGGGTCGCCGGAGGAAGTGCAACGCATTTCTCAGCACTTCACCAGCCGGATGGATAGCAAAAGGAAGTCAGAAGTGAAGCAGGTATTCTTACTTTAGGAAGGGAGCAACCGCAGTCGTAGCATGTTAGGGAAATCGTATAATTCTTTACAAAATATGTTATAGCCTTATCGGTAGACTATTCTAAGCCCTCGCTGAACCGATGACATAGTTTGCAGACAAAACATTCCAAAGTTTTCGAAAACTTTCTGAAAACATATGTGTTTTGTCAAGTTACTACTTAATCATGTTTGATTATGCTATATTTATCTCGATCGTTTCTATTGGAATTCGAAAGAAAAAGGGATTGGTTTGCATGGCCGTATAAACGGAATACGTTCGCAACCTGTCTTCTGGTGTATCAAAGCGCATAACCTACTGTACTTGTAGATTCTGGTGAACTACCAGTCGAGCGATCCGCGTCCGTCCGCGCACTACCGAAATCACCAGTGGACGCTCGATAATGTGACCAAGGCCAACGTTGACAAGCTCAACCGGTTCTGCTTGTGTGCTTTATCACGCTACATGCAGGACTGCAGTCCAGGCTATTCGGCATCCGCCCCGGACAACAACCCACAGGCTGGGCAATCCAGTGGTTCCAGTAGACTCTACTAAATCTAGCATTTACGAGTGGGAACTTTGAAGACTCAGATGATTAAATAGCCTAAAATCATTAGTCCGGAATTATGGGGAATTTAGTTTTTTTCTTATCTTTCACGAGTGTTTTTCTTCTCCAATCAAAATTGACGGTTTTCTTAGCCACGTTTTGTTCTCCCGTCACATAATATGATTACTGTAAATTTTATCGTCTCTCTCCATTTTTCGTAACCTAAAGAATGTTTGGCAGAAGGCCGATGTATTTTCTTCGTAATTCACTGTAAATGTGGCTACGAAGTGTGCGACATCGTGGTCAACATATCTAATTGTCGAGTTGGCTTACTGTGGCATTGTATATTCGGTGGCCTGGGATGTAATTCAACAAAAGCAAACATTTTCTGTAGCGATGATGGTGATGGGATTTATAAAGCGCGCATCACGAACAAAAAATCTACAGTGATTTGCGTTGCAAACAACGTTGGCTTTAGTCTGCAAAATGTTGGTACAGTAAGTGGATGGCCAATCTACTCAGCGTCGATACATCCAGCTGCCGCAGATCAACTCCATCCCATCGGTCTGAAGGGTCGCCTGGTCGAAAGCTGCTGCATCTAAAACAGCACAACTTGGCTTGCACTGCCATAACATGAAACATTTTCCCGTTATCATTCAGGGGTTACTTACAGGCTAAGAAGCATTCGAACACCGGTCCACTCGTCGGGGTAATCCAAAGACTGCACCCGACGCGCATGCACGAGCGCACCCTTTTCGTAGAGCTGACGACCGACGGCCGGGCAGTTCCCGTTTAACGCGGTCAAGAAACGTCGGCAGTGTTCCGTTTTTGTCTCGGCGCCATGAAAGCGTAGCAGCGGAATGAGGACGTCGATGGGTGTTGAATCTGTTCCCGGTATTCGACGGCCTTCCAACCATTTCACGTCATTAAAATTATGATCGAAGAGCCTGGCTAGTAGTTACTGCTTGGCAGGACAAATGGAGGCGGTATAATTCATCAGCCGCAATTCGTCGCACATGCACAGCAAGCTGGACAGTTCGGTGCAGCCATATTCCCCGCTGTCAGAAACCAGCATGAGCCCCAATGACGAATCATGAGCCCAGCATGAGCCCCAATGACGAACAATGACGAATCCGGAAATCGACCATCATCGTCGCATTCCTTGACAGTAAGAATTGGCAGGCGAATGCCCTTAATTTCAAGGATCGCATCGATGACGTACAAATTAAGCCGGAAACCATGCGCGTTCTCCTTCTTCTGACCACACGTTTCCTCGGATATGAGCGCCAGGGAATGGGTACGCTAAGAAATGTAGCCATCTAACACCATAACGGATTCGTATGCAAGTTTGAGGGATGGGGCGTTGAAGATAGGTGCCGGTCGGTTGCATGGTTTTGCAGCAGAGCCCTCCATAGTGCGCACACCCTGATAAAGACACAACGAACAACCTTTTCAATGGTCAGTCTCTCAGTTATAAGTTTGATTTCATGAAACTAAAAACAACGAGGTGAAACAGTCCATCCAGAGTTATAAAATACCGGACCGGCTGATTTGTACGCAAGTGCGGATGTCAAAATTCAACAGAATATCTGACAGGATCGGATGGGAAAGGTCAATGATTTTCGCTTCTTCATCGTCTAAAAAATATACAGTTAATTCTGCAAAACCACTGTTAGCTCTGCTTCTGAAAGGTTATCGCTGTACAGTTTAACTTGACATAATTATTCAGAATCTGCAATCTTATACCTGTTGTATGGGTGCCGTATGGGGGTAGCACGTCAATTCGCCGACCTACAATATGCTGACCGACCATTTGCTGACCGACATGTTGCTGACTTACACAACTCGCTGACCGACAACTTGTCAACCGACAATTTGCTTTTCGGCTAAGTTGCAGACCGACGTTTTGTTGAAACATTCTAGGTGACCGACAACTTGCTGTCAAGTTCGGGACGTTAGTTTTGAGTTTTCTTAACTTTTTCTTGTTTATTCTATGTTTACGCCGGTTGGTTAACGTCTTGATGTGGTTTTGCAGCAGATCGTTCAACCGTTGCACAGCGGGCTGATTGAACGGCTTCCAAACATGCCTGACCGGTGTGCTCTTCCGGCTCCAGTTGAACTAGGTACGCCAGAGGGTTTTGCCTGAGAGTCCGGAAAGGGCATAATGTAGTCAGCTGCAAAGGTATTTTTGTTCTTCCACTGCAGATGAAGGTGTTTAAAAGACAGCGCCGGAATTACGAGTTTGCCGATAGTGGTAAGGATAACAAGACTGGTGAACGAAAGCGGAAGAAGCGACTTACTAGTGCACGCAGTTTGCCGTTGCCGAAGGAAGTGCTGAAGGAGGTCTTCCTTTCAATGGATACCATCGATCAACAACGCTGTCGGCGCACATGTCAACTGTGGGAGGGCTCACGTCGGAAGAGGTGCGCAGAGTGCTTAATGTCTCCCCTGAGTCTCTCATTCTGAATGAGCGGTGTTTGACGCTGGGCACATTGCCGTTGAAGCTTCTTTTCACTGAGATGGCAGCGCTGCATTCCCGATTGGCGTCCTGTTGTGACCGCGTACCCTGAACAAATACAGGATATGCTATAAGCCCGGTGATGACGTCTCCATGGGGTTTTTTATACCGTCGGCTGTCTTCGTTCCGGAACATGTGAGCGAAGCTCAGATTTAGGATGTGTTCGACTGTTCGAGGGTAATCTGCGCTGCATTGGGGAGCTAGAGTTGACTGATGACTCTGATATTGGTGGGTTCGCGAATATCAGCCCCTGTGTTTTTAGCTGATAACCCACATCCGATTGATATGCAGCGCACTGCCCACTGCATAACGATGTTGATTAACAGCAGGACGAGAGCATCGAATGTGAAGGAGGTAACGTGCGACGGTGCGAGTGACGTCCTTTAGAGCTTGTTTCTGATTTTTGAAAGTCTGTGGCGGACCGCATCATGTGTTGACCGGAACGAGATTGCAGATTCGCAAGGACTACCAGAAATGCGATCCGCGCCTTTCGTCGCATTACGAAAGTCCAAGTGGATCTTGTACAATCTTCCTAGCGCAGAGGTTAATAAGTTGAACATCTGGGTTTATTTAGTCACTTCGTATGTTTATTTAGTCACTTCGTATGTTTTACTTTTGGCTATGGCTATTTTGCCGCAGTCCAACAATAGGGGTCTGAGTAGCCCTTAGGCTATTTTGCCGCGCAGTGCGCCGGAATAGCCAGTTGGCTATTTTGCCGCACTATGGTGGGCGAAATAGCTTGTTGGCTATTTTACCGCACACTGCGTACCGTCTATCGTGGGTCCATTTTGTGTTGCGACAAGAATCTGTTGAAAGTGCGCGGCGAGACAGGCTGCAACAATGGTGTGGCAAAATAGCCAACTGGCTATTTAGCCGCAAACACTGCGGCAAAAAACCACTTCGCTTACAGTACTTTTAAATGAAACTCCAAGATGCAATGGCAGCCTGTTGTGTATTGTCGCGCGCCCGCTTACGCGTGGCACCTACGTGCACTGTTCCACGTGCTTGCTGAAGTCAGCAATGCAGATTTGCCCATTCGGATTTTCTAGCATTTTTCAGTCTGTTGATAAAGTTCTTGCAATCACGCCGTTTCTCGCTGTTTAGCACTGCCAGAATTCTTTGGCAGGCAGAATTCCTTTCTGCAGCGTGAACTTTGTCAGGTCCGCGCCTCATACATCACTGCCTGCCCTTTGGATCTTTCCTTCCGCGTTAGGAATTCAGGTACGAGTGTCATGACAAGCAGGTACTGGCTGCTTCTTATCAAAATGGCAAAAGAATCACGCCAACCGTAGACATCCTCACTAAGCCAGCGGTAAAGCTTACCAATGCACAGTTTAAGGCGAAGGTAATGAGCGATTGCTATTACAAGGACTGGATCCCGAAATCCGTCTTCAATCTTTAGTGCAGTTTGTATTATGCTGGTGGTCTTTAGACCCAATTTTTCTAAGGGAAAACAGTAAAACACATAAGTTTTTACCAGTGTTCTTAATTTATTGATAAATTTTCCAAAACTGGGGATATCATTGCTTAATAGTTAATTTTAACTACCAAATCTTCATGATACGGCGAGGACCATGGCCCTCGAGGCCACTATTAAACATTCGCCACTATTTCCGCTTGTAATTAGATACGGAACCCGAACCAGTAATGCTGTCTACTGAGTAATGTGCTTCACCGTAACTTCGTAGCGCAGTTTGCTGGACTGCGCGCTGGTGGCAAACTAATTCCACTGTGTGTTTCGTCAGATTGTGGCCAGGAATTTACGGCAGCCATGTTGGAAGTATGGACCAGTCAGATTAACGTTATGGGCGACGACGGCAAGACCCTGCTGTACGGGCGTGTGGTGGACTTGGCGGCCGACGGGCTGTATATCGACCTCTTGTGCCCCAACCGTCGAAGAGAATTCATCCCCTTTCACCGTGTCTTTCTCTCCAAACGCGCAGACGAATTTGGTTTCCTTATGACTCAGCTGGATAAAACATGGACGAGCGTCCCCGTGGAAGTGTTGAGTCGTAAGTATCCCGGCGGGGCGTGGCGCTGGTGGCCCGGGGAACTGGTGAATCCCTGTCCGACGCCAGCGTCAGAGCGACACCTCAGTTACGCACTGGCCGTCGTTCAGGGACAGGATAACAGCGGCGCCACCTGGACGGACATCGTCGGCGTACAGCACATTCGCTGGCCCGTCCCAGGTAGCTGGTGGACCGAAAAAGATATCGAACAGCCATCAACGGCGTTGGACGTGACGCTGCTTCGAAGCACCGGACCGGGGCGCCTGGTGAAATGCTGTCCGCCGCTGCCACCCAGCTGTCAGGGAGCCTCAGCCGCACAGTTGCTGAAGGCGCTGAAGGAACCGCTGACGAAGTGGATGTTTCCATTTGACGACCGGGTGGTCAGTGTCGACTTCGCGGATGGACAGGTCCAGTATGTCGTGGAGCTGAGCGATGGCGTCGAGTATGCGCAATCGCAGGACGCAGCACAGGTTCGTCATGCACTGTCTGAAATTTTAGTGTGATCTTAAAGATAGAGTGATGACTAAAACTCAGCCGTTATGATAGGAAACGATTTAAACTTTGGTTTTTCCGATTTAAACTTTAATCACTTAATTAAAGAGTGTGTTTCCATATACATATTGGTTACCGCTCTGCGGTACCAAGCCACTCCATGTGGCGCGCTACAAGCATACCTCCTCGTTTAGCGGGACTTGCATTTTGCCTTGTTCCTCACTGTTGTGTTGTGCAGTCAGTAAAAAAATCATGCATCCGGCTCAAATCATGGTTTTCGTTTTGTTTACTTATGGTTAGGGACATTTGTTATTGTTTTTGCATTAAAATTCATGAGCGAAGATTTTATTATAAAAACATTTCAACTCCTCTAATCTGCAGCACAATGAGCCTCAAGGCCATTGTGAACCATTTTCTGAACAATGGATGCCGCAGGCAGAAAGGTTTACGGATCCGGCAGAAAGGTTAATGCAGTTCGGCAGAAAGGTTTAAGCGGCTTCTTTGACCGTAAACTATTCACCCGTAAACCTTTCTGTCGGTGACACGCACAACATCCGGATGAGGGGCTATGTGTGAAACGAACTGTGAAAACCTTTCACGGGGATTTGTTTCGCGGGTTTGTCAACATGCTGATGTGGTTTTGTAGCACTCTGTGCAATCGTTGCACAACGGGATGATCGAGCGCCTTCCGGACATGCTGCGCCGGCGTGCGGTGCCGGCTCCGGTGGAAGTGGGAACGCCAGAGGAATGGCGAGCCGTGGCGTTTGACGTGTGGCAGCAGGTGTTCTCCTACGTAGATACGCTGACGCAGACCCGGTTGCGCGCGGTCTGCTCAGCATGGAACGCTATCCTGGACACGCCGGGGTTGACTGGCAACGTTTTCATCGACTCGGACGTTGCCAGCGGACAGCAGACGGATCTCCACTACACTCTAACGGTGCCTATCTTCAAAACCTACGACCCTCTACCCAGTATCTGATCGTTCATGACCGCCACCACCGCCTCCGCCTCTATGACCTTTTAGCGGTGTCCGACATGATTCACTATGTGGCGCAAACCCACCCCGACATCCAGCTGGCGGCGCTGTATATGATGGGCGTGACGAATGTGTTCCCGGAACTGGGCCGCCTCGCTGATACCATGAAACCGGGGCGCTGCGAGCTGCATGATCACCCGGAAGTGGCGCGGAACCGGGAGGATTTCATCGCAGCCTACCGCGATGTGCCGTGTGAGACCATCTATCTGATCCGCTGCACGGTGCGCCTGCAGTTCAACCCGAAAGGTCACCAGGTTCCCCGCTGCAGCACAGCGCCGGCATGCCGCTGGTCCGACTGCCGCCGAACGGCGACTGGGCCGCCACGGTGTGGGAAGCGTTTTGAGGCGGCGCTGCCGGTGTCCAGTGACGCCCAGCTGCGCTCACTGACGCAGTGGCTGACGGTGATCGGGGACCAGGGGCGACTTCACCAGACAGTCTGTCAAGTAAAACCTGGAGTCGAATATCACGTGGATGCTCTTGAAAATATATTCAAGGAGAATTAATCATAGATTTACGTTATCAAAACATAAGCATAAGATCATTATCAGAAAATAAATTAGGGAAAAATATATTTAATGGACTAGGGACTAAGGGTTTTTCTTCGAACATACCGTAAAAGCAATGTGCAAAGCAAACAAGCAATACAAAGAAAACATAAGTATTTAATTATTTATTGTGGGACAAACTAAATATTAAGTAGCTAAATTTTTTGGAAAAAAATTTTATATAGAAAATTAGGAAAAATATTCAGTCAATTGGGTAAATATATTTTAATAAACATTAAAAATATTGTATATACCATAATATACGTAGACATTAAACAGAAAACAAATAAGTAGATAAACAGAAATAAATATGAATATAAAAATATTAATAATAAAGAAAATAGGTAATTACAAATATACATAACAAATACTATCGTAAACATTATCCAGATATTAAACTATAATTATAATACAATAAATATAATTATACTACCGTAAATAGTATCCAAATATTAAACAGCTAAATTGAGTAGAAAATCTCTCAACGCAGCGAAACAGGTAAAGTTTTCATCCCACCCAGATGTTGGAAATGAGATATGATGTTTAAAGTAAACGTTTAGTGGGACGAATGGGAAATAAAGTTAAATTTACACGCAAAAAAGAATACCTCGTGCGTTTAACCTTCTGATTTTTCGATTATGTAAAAAGACTACAGTATGTTTCACTTCCATTTCACAAATTTTTCTGCTACGTTTCCTCCTGATTCTTTAATTTTCCAATTAAATCAATAAATTTGCTGGTAGTTTACTGAGCCACTTTACTCAGTTGAGTAATACATGCTGATTAAATCATCGTTCGGTAACAGTCGCTCGTCGTCCCAGTCATCATACCCAGTCCGCTTGAGTAGTTTCTGGTTATGTTTTATGACCTAAAGTTTTTGCAGTCTTATAAGCGCGGGAGCGCTCTGAGTAATTACCATACTATTTTGGGTTTGGTCAAACGCAATAGACTCATGTGAGTCAATTCATCTGATAAAAGCTGATCCCACTGCTGAACATTTTTCATTCTGAGAAACACATTCCGTTCGCTTTTGTATCATGTTTTGAGTAATCAGGGTTGGTCACGGTAAACTTTTGTATGACTGATGAAATACTAATACGCGTTCTCAACCGATCACCGTATGACTTCGAATGATCATCCCCTCGCCAATTTTGATGAGCTGCTCTCCAGTGACGCATCATCAAACTATTTCAGTCGTGTCGAACCCGCTTCGCCTTCTCAAGGTGTTCTGTCATGCCAAAGTATTGACTTCCACCTCGTAGTCGCTTCTGCCAGTGAGTTTGAAGACTCAGCATTTAATAACGTAGTACTCCCATTTGCAGGGAACACTAAAACTGTCGGCAACAGAATGAGTAATAACGACCGACATGATCATAAAGGTCCACCTGATGCAGGTGATAAAGTACACCAATACGCATCAGCTACCCTGAGCGCGCCTGCAATTCGTGACCTGCCCAAGTTTAGCGGTTTTGTCTCTGAAGATGTCGAAGATTTTATTAATGAATTCGATGCGCAAGCGCAGGTATATGGATGGCAAGATGATCAAATGATGAAGTATACTCATGTATGTCTTAAAGGAAGCGCATTACAGTGGTTTGTAATGCATGAAAAGAAAGATTCCTGGGACGAAATCTGCCAAGCGCTACGACAGACATTCGGCAAAAACGCTATTGATTACGATATCGATAACCGGTGCATGTCAATGCAGGCTGCAGACGACCCACTTTTTTATGTAAATCGAATAACGCGAGTACTGCGTGCCCGAAATCCTAACGGCTCGCATAAGGATGTACTATTGCACCTATTTCAAGGGTTGCCAGACGCTTTGAAGGCGGAGATGGTACAGTACTTCGACAACCTTGCAGACACAGATGATTTCCTTGATAAACTAAAAAACATATCGCGTGCGTACCGCTACCGCTCTCGCCTATTCGATACAGTTCAGTAAGAAAATTTCCGGTTTAGCGATGTCACGTCGACTTATTCGGGATATCAGTTTTTACTGCCAGATTACAGTTATGTTTCCGTTTTTATTTTCGATGCAAGAAAAACGACATCTGCGTTGATACGGCATGCTAAAGTTTAAATCCGAAGTGATGCATGCGGATTCGCAGTGGATTACAGTCTACCGACAGGTGCAATGTTAACAACTACTTCAGTCGTAACTTTACATGAAATAAGTCAGCAAAAATATGTGTGCACACGTGTCGAGATGAGTTGAGAAAGGCAGTGGCTAAAGTTAGGCAGCAAAAAAATTTGAAAAATGATACAGAAAAAAGCAATTTTATAAAATACAGCTGCAGTCAGCGAACCGATATAGCTTTTAGCAAGAGCAATTAGAAAATAACATGATTTAGTACTACTGACTTGCGCTGGTCGCAATTTATGTTTTGGTAACTAAGTCTTGTTGGCCGATTTCATATAGTAAGTCGACGTTCCTTATGAAAGCGGCGCATATTTTCTAATAAGATTGTTATGTGCTTGTCGCGAAAGCATATAGTAATCTGCCGTCACGAGATTGTGTTGTAGAAGCCACTGTAAGTAATTACGGGTACCCAAAAAGAAACGGCTAAGCTATATTCAGAGTCTCGCTGAAGTTTTGGTGAAATAATTAATGGTGACGTAGATATTTGGTAAAGTTGCGGCACAATGTACTTTGTAAAATGTCGAAGTTTTCGGAAATTCGTATTGTAGAATTGGCCGATGTCTTAAAAATCAGTTCTTGAGAGCCGATCTGGACTTCATTTTACTGGTTTAAATTGCTTGTCAAATTGCTTTGTTCGTTTTTCAGAATTCAAAACTGACTGAGGTTTATTTTTACGTAATGGTTTTCATTGCAATAAGTGCAATTAGCGGCTGATGTTTTGTATGCGATTTTACTTCTATTTTGAGTTATTATACAGAAAGCGGAAAGGCGGGAAGTAATACGATATAAACTGCAAAAGTGCCGGCCATTTTGCCACATTTCCCTTATCATTTCAGTAGATAAGTTCAAAATTGTATGTCATCCGTTTTATCACTGACACCGCTTATCTTTGCGCAACAACATTACTAAGAAGTAAGAAGCACGTATCGTCCGTTACATATCGGACAGTTACGGTACAGTTAATTATACAGTGCCAGGCGTGTGTTAAACTTGCAACAAGGCTGCAAAGCGCATGTTGATGAAATAAAAAGTTCTATTGACGCGTTAAGTCGGCTTTTTGGCATATAAACCAGAGCCTAGGACTTTTATGATACATTCTTGGCGGCCACTGCTGTTGTGTGCTGAACTTAGCACATGCATTAAAACGGAATTAGGCATGTGCTAGAGCTAGAGAGCAGAATGCACTTTTATGAAACTAATGGACAGAGTTTAGGCGCATGGAATTCGGTGGAGGTGCTGCTAGATGACAACGGTCCGCTGCAACGCGGCAGCGTTATGAACATCGTCGAGGATGGTCTGATTATTGAATTCCACTGTGTCGGCCAGCGGCCGGTGCTGGTGGAGTTCGGGAATGTCTTTGGTACGAGCCTGGATGAACGGTGTTTTGGTCGGATCCGCGTTTTCCCGATAAGGAATCAAGGAATTCCTTTGCTTAGCGCCGCCAGCAGCCGGCAGACTGGACTTGCAGGTGCTGCTGCGCGCCCGTCCCGGCCCGAAGGTCCGTGGCATCCTGGAAAGCTGCTGATGTGGGATACAGACCATGCCCGTGGTTACGCCTTCGTAGAAGCGCATTTGCTCGGAGCGACAGTCCGTAAACTGTTATACCAAAGGCAGGTGCGCTCTCTGCCGTCGAATGAGGACACGAAGCAGAAAACAATTCAGCCCAGTGATTCGTTATGCGCTCCGTTCCTCTGCCGGAAAGATACTTGTCACGACTTGAAGGTGGCGGCATAATGTATTTATTATGAACCGCCACTGAGGGCGCAAACAACCAACTGATTGTTGTCATCAGGACAACAATGGCACACTGCAACCGTAGTTGCCATGCTGGACAACACACCACATAGAGGTCACAGCGGACACAACATTCTCGTTGCGTCAGTGCCACTGCACTACGCCACAATACTGGAAGGTTGGAACGCCGGCTTTAACGGCGGCGTTTCAGTAGCAAATCGACGCCTGCTGCAAAGCGCGATGCATCTCTCTCTACAACGAAGGATTTGTCTATCTGCAGCGCACCGAAGAGACGGCTGTTGCAAATCATGTTCCAGTAAGTTCCCTTGTTTTTTCTAGCCAAAATAGAGTAACAGAACTGATAACAGTGACTGGGTACTTGCCATTTATCTGCAATATAAAATCAATCGTTCAGGCGGAATGTGCACAACGAGCGCAAGCTCGCCGTGGCGACTACGTGAAATACGGACGTGAATACCGACTCAGCCGGCATCCGCTGCCACTTAAAACGAGTTGCTTCCGGGATTCC